GGGGGGCCCCCCCCCCCCCCCCCCCCCCCCCCCCCGCTCCCGCCGCCGCGGCATGGCCTACTATATTAGTCCGCCTTGGGCTTTTCGCCGGTGGCGACCGCGACCGCCTCCGGGTTGGGCACCCCGGTCACTGTGTACACCACGTTGTGCACGGGGGTGAAGGGGTTGAAGGCCGGGCTGATGAGGGTCTGAGCGAGCGCGACCACGCACAGGAACCCCGCGACGATCGCCCTGCCCTGCACGACCAGGTCTCCGTCCAGGAAGAGGGCGGCGGCGTCGCGCAGGTACCTGCGTGTGTAGTGTTCATGTACAATTTCACGTAGATACAGCCGAAGTAGTTTTCGTGAGTGGACTTCGTGTGTGTGGTGTGTGGTGCGCTTGTGCGGGTTAAGGAGGCCAACAACGAAGGGGAGGGTGGCGAATGGCGCGGGGGGAAACTGGGAGAGGGGAAAGAAAGATGGCTGTATTGGCAGCAAGGTGGGGGATTGGTATCTCGGGACCCCCACGGCAAACGTCAAGGGAGGCACGTCTTCTGGGGAGCACAACCAAAAAACGAAAATTGAAGACACAGGTGAGACATTACTGCTGCCACAGCGTCACAGCAGTGCATGCCGCCAACACAACAACAAAAACCAAAACTGGTGGCAGGGCATCCTTTCAACTTACACCTCTTCGGCGAAAACCTTGCGGGTGCGATCGAGAAAACACCAAAACGCGCAACATTCTACTTGTATATTTTTTGCGGGCGGAAGACTGGCAAGTGAGGAAGTGTTGGACGGTACTCACGGTCCGACGTTGGGGTCGTAGACGAAGAGGTTGAAGAACATGGAGCCGTAGAAGGCGGACTGAAGCGGCCATGGAGCGCCGTTCTTCAACCCCTACAAAAAAAGAAGTGGGCGGGCGGGCGGGCGGGGGGGAGCACGAGTGTATGCGACAGCAGTAAGAAAAAACTGAAACGCGATCGACGTAGCATATGGACATCTATGCGTTCAACACATGGACGACCACATCACACAACGAGAGGAAACACTGACGAACGGCCTGCGATCAAATCGGGGTGACACCTTCGGTCAACATGTCGCCTCATCATCAACAAACCGCACGGCCATAAGGTCAGTGAAGCAGAGCCGTCGCGCGGTGCGCAGTAATAGGTTGAGCAATGATAATTTATCCATGTAGCTCGTTATAGCCGTGGATTGACTTTATTCGCAGGTGAACGGAACACGTTTGCTCAAATGCTGCTGATTCTGCTGTTGCCTCGGGGTATTATTGTAAGACCGGTGCAAGACACCAAGGACGCGCCAATCGTCCCCATTCCAAGTCGGTGGCGCGAACGAGCGTGCAACCTCGCGCTCGTGCTGCTGCTGCTGCTTCTGCTACAACAATCACAAAAAATCACAAAAAACAACAACAACGAAATTCAACGGTTTTTCCATGCTGTCAAGGTCATTCCGCCACAACAACGACCTTCGGAAGCTTTTCCACGCATGCCATCAAGGTCATTCCACAACAACAATGACCTTCGAAGGTTTTTCCATACATCAAGGTCATTCCGACAACAAAGTCGATGGTAGTTATCATGCATCAAGGTCATGGTTTCTCCATTCCGTCAACGGAGTACTCTCTTGTTACCTTGAGGCCCTTGTCGAGGGGCAGGAAGAGTCCGCCGCACCCGCCCACCGTTCCGAGAAGTATCGGGCCCCACAGGGCGATGGGGTAGTGCTTGCCAGGCTGACACCACGAAAAAAAAAGTGGTGGGGGGGGGAGGGAGCAGTCGATCAAAGGGTTCCACATGATTGATACATTCGTGAAGCCGAGCCTACACCCAGCTGGCACAAAAAAAAGAGGAGAAATCCACGTACGTGCGGGGGAGGGACACACAAAGGGGTGTACAAACTTGCAGTTTTGTTGCTGTTGCGATGCAGGGGGTCAGACGTACTGGGGACCGCCATCACGCCGGTTTGATACACGGCGTGGGAGGTGCGGAGGTGCTTGCACGCCTGCATCGCACTCCTTCCTTTGCACCGTAGCGGTTCACGTCCTGCGAACCCGAACTATGTTACTTCATCGAGGCCACCCCCGTTACATTCTTCGCACTACTACTGCTGTACGGCGCCTTCGCGCCAAGCGCTTCTTTTTGGGGGGGTATCCCTCGAAGCAGACCGCGGATCCGATTCCCTCCTCACGCACCTTGAGGATGGAGTTGGACAGGACGACGATCCCGCACATGGAGTTCGCGCGGAAGACCTCCGAGAGCACGAGGATGACCTGCTTCATGATGGGGGTGTTGATCAACGCGAATATGGGACCTTCCGCCCTGTTGGACACGAACCAGCAGACGGCCACCTGGGCGGGAGCGGCGAAAAATCGGAAAAAAAAAGGAACAACGAAAGAGAGAGGAGAGAAACAAGGGACGGGGCATGGAAGAGAATTTAAGAAGCGCACAACAACAAAACGACCAAGTGCCAGAAGAGCGCCGCCAGTTTTGGATTGAGAAAAGCGAGACACGCATGCATGCAGACTCGTTCTCACAGCTTGCGCGATTCGTTGAGCGTGACGAGCGAAAAGGGCGCTTTTCCAGCCGAGTTCACCACCGGAGGACAAGATGCAAACCAATCGACGCCGAAACTACTGCTGTACCTACATAACGTTAACGTTTCGTCGACAATCCGAAAACAGAAATTAAGATCGTGTGTCTTCAGTGGGCAGAGAGAACCAAATAATCGCCCTGACGCGCCTACGGCCGCGAAAACAATAGACGGAAGCAAGATCCAACTCTTCCGAAAAACGCCTCCAAGCAGGTGAGGACGAAAAACGTGTGCCGATGCATACACGGGAAGGCGCTGACGAAGGACGAACGTCGCGGGATCTTGCCCCTCCACAGACCGCGACCGACATATCTCGCCGCGCACGCGCATCTTACACGCGTCGCTATCTACTTGACGCGGCAGTGAGTATCCATCCCGCCTCCACTAACATGAAAACCGAACCAACGGGAACGTTAACGTTGCCCTTTCGTCGTCTCCAAGGCAACGGAAGTCGCATGCATAACAGATGTACGCACCAGCGGGACTATCAGGTCGTTGACGAACATGACGGGGGGCTTGCCGAGCAGGAACGGGGCGAGGATGCCGCCTCCAAAGGCCATCATGTAGGTCATGACCAAAGACTCCGCCCAGAACATCTGCTTGCCGCTGTCCTTTTCGATCTTCCTCACCTTTTGAGACCCCGGAGTGTTGGGGGCGGCGGCGGGGGGGGGGGGAGGTAGAGGTGGGGTATTAAAATTTGTTGTTCTACAATACACTGGTGTGAACACTTAGAAGAGGTACTGTCGCGTTGCGGCAGCAGGTACATACAAGCAACAAGCAAGCGAGTGTGTCTTTTCTTCTTCAGGAAAAATTCGTAAAAACACAGTAAGATTACCAGTTCGAGATGGAAGGTAAACGTGGTCGGGTTTCATAATGCGGGCCAGTTCTCAGGTAAGCATGGCATTGTACACAGGAGTGAAGACATCTAGAACAGGGGGGCTGACGAAAGCCGGAGGAGTGGCACCAGCCGGCTTTTCTCTCTTCTCTGGCCCTCTTTGCTAACAAGGCCGATACGTAGCGCTGCTGTGTCGTTCAACGGGAGCTGTATCATACAGCTGTAGCTTCCAGTCTGTGACACGTAGGGCCACGTACCAGAATCTTCGCTTTCTGCTTGAATGTCAAAGCACCGCTTCCCGCGCAAGCCAACCTGAGGGCGTCGCATGCTTGTTTGATCTCCTTTCAAGCGAAAACACACACAACTGTCGCAGAAGGGTCGCAAATCCACTAGGGTTCACCCCACAACCACAACCACGGACGACGGCGTGTGTCCGAGAGGGGGGGTGTTGGCGCTCGCATGATGCGTCCCTCTCTCGAAGGGGGGTACATACTTACATACGTAGGTCGCTGCTGCTGCGCGTTTGCTTCGCGGTCTCTTTGCCTCTTTCGCCTACAAACGCGACCGATCAGGGGCTTGTACTGGTTGCACCCACGCCCCCGCAACCGTCTTCACCGAGGTTTTCTTGTGTCTGTGTGCTGTTGGTGGCGCTAGTGAGCTAACCAACCCGCGCAGCATCAGCCTCGACGGAAGGAGCATCATGCGGCGGTGGGTACGGGTCTGTCAGGTTTCGACAAGTGCACTCACCCTTGCAGAGTGGAAAAGAGCGAACGCGGCAAGGCACACCTCCGCCCCATACTCCCAGTTCTGCGTCAAGAAGTCTACGGCGTTCTCCATGTTGCTAGCTCGTTCTTCGGAGAGAAGCCACAGCGGCACAGCAGCACAGCAGTGGAGATGAACGTCGCAAACAAACGAAACCAAACACACTGTTCAGCAGGAGGCCAGCGGCCCCGTGGATCAGAAAAAGTGTGTACCCTACGTACGTCCAACCCCAATTGCTCAAGTACGTAGCACGTGCCGGTGGGTGTGTGTTTGTCTATCCATGAGCATCGCTGGCGGCGGGCCTGGAGCGTGAGGAGCACTTCCGTTCTGCCTGGTGTACACGGTGCGTAGCCTGGGGTTCAGTCTTTCTTTTTGTGTCTTCGTGTCGTGTGCGAGATAATGAGAAAAAGGGGGGCGACACTACACGACGTTTTGAAATGTGCGCGATCCCGCATGTGATGTGATGAGGAGATTCAACAGGGGTGGTTGACCTCTTGTCTACTACACTGCTGTCTACCATCTGTCTTGATCGCCTCGCCGATTTACTCCATCTATTCCGGCTGTGTGCCGGCCCGCTTACCGTTTGCCTGCCCATTTGATCATTCCGTGTTCTTTCTCATCGCTCTTGTGGGATGTCCGAATGGTAGACGAAGGTAGACAAGTAGACCATACCACACGACTACAACTGTATTGTAAAATGTACCTGTCTCTCTGTTTCTCAGAGACCTGTCTTGTAGGAATTACATGTGTTTCCTGAACGTGAGGTTAAAGTGTGTGCGCTACAGCTATTTAGCTAGGAACATCGATCCAACACTGCTCATGACTGCGTAGTCTGGAACAACAGTTTACTGGCAGCGTTTTGTTGTGGATTAGAGTCCTGGGAGCAGGCTGCACCCCTATTTATATTTACAGAGTTCTTACAGCCTCCGTTTTCAAAAGTAAAGTATTTCAGACAAGGGCGAGCGACGGCGACGATCGACGGAGCGACGGCGGGGCGATCGACGAAGGCGGCCCAAGGCCGCCCGATCGACCGACCGACCGACCGACCCAACCCTACCCTACCCAACCCTACCCAACCCTACCCAACCCTACCCAACCCTACCCAACCCTACCCAACCCAACCCTACGGAACACAACACAACACAGCACAGCCCCAACCCCAACCCCAGCACCCCAACACAACACAACACAACACAACTCGTTCAACCCCAACTCAACCCAACCCCCAACACAGTCGGGTGATGACGAAACCAACACCAGAGCGAATACACAACCCCCAAAACCCGCCGGATCCCCGGTGAACGACTGCAACACGCAGAAGGCGACACTTGTAACCACCCCGCCTCGTCAAGTCCTCTTGAAGATAGAACCACATCCCAACGCGCAAAACACTCCGCCACAGCAGTTGTTGTCATGGCACAATGTACCGAGGCGTAAGTAGTTAGCTAGAGCTGACGCGTAGGGGCCGACCGAGCGATCACGAAGAAGGACGTACGAATCAGGCCGCCCGATTGACCGCCCGACCGAACGACCGACCCGATCAACACAACCCTACCCAACCAAACCCTACTCCAGTAAGATTGTCTACATAGCAAGATAGAAATAGTGGTTGGTGATAGACATTTGTGTTACTGCTGTGTGTTTTCGTCCCATGCCCAGCACAAGTCTAGAAGCATGTACCTTGTCTACAGTGCTGCTGCATTTTGGTGGGGCAAGTCTGCACCTTTGGTATATGCTAAGTAGTCCATGCGCCAACCGATGTCACACATGTGGTACCAGTGTTTGAGAATATTCCTATCCTGTAACCGCGGGAGGCATTGCGGTTGGACCTGGGAGCGTCCGCAGGTACATAATTCAGCAGAGATTGTACTGCTGTACCACGTGTTTTTTCTTGTTTTCAACACAAACACGACTTTTCAGAACATTTGACAGCCATCAGCAGACAGCAAAAAGCGGACACGGAACGTGTCGCTATTACCGGTGTGACACTAGCTTATTAAAGATAACGATGAACGTCACAGTTTGTTGCCGGGTTGTACATGTCCGTCCTTGTGCTCACTCCCCCATGGCGGACCGGGCTACGGCTTCAACGTGGTCGGTATGCCTTACGACATCCTACGTGAGATACAAACATGGTGATTGTGGCCGTGGGATAAAAACATGGTGGCTGTGCCCTGTCCCAAGGTCCAACGAACAGCTTGCGTCACTACTGTACACTTGCTTTACGAAGGACTTCTATTAACCCCGCCAATCCTGTTGCCAGGTGGATGGGGTTTCTCGTAGTCTTGGGCGTTGTAAGAAAACACGTTTCCGCTCAACGTCGCCAAACAATTTTTTTTTTGTTCAAACCCACACTAGCCGATCGCCTAGGCTTTGGGGTCGTTGGTGACGAGCATATCTTCGCACGTATGCACCACAGTTCCTCGTTACACCGTGCGCTTCTTCGAAATTCGTTCAACCGGCAAAGCAGGGTTCATTAAAAGCCGCGCTAGAAGAGGAGAGGCTTTAACCGGCGGAGCGCCGTCACCGAGCACCATAAAAAAATGCCTTCGCGGGAGGTAGGAAACCTGGCGGTCGCCGCTGCGTTCGCCCTCTTCTCCGCCTTCCTCTTCTTCGCCCGCGACGAGGCCGGCGCTTGGCGAGAGAACTTCCTCCACCTTCCCATCGGCGGTTCCACCGCCCCTATCGCCTCCAACTCCGAGCCCTATGTCCCGGCCGTGCACCTCGCCGGCGTAACCGGGGACGCCAACAGCAAAGAGCCTCCGGTAGCGTCGGAACCAGATGATGCAGCGGCAGCAGCGGCAGCGGCGGCGGCAGCGGCGGTAGAATCAGCGGCGGCGGCGGCGGCGGCGGCGGCGGCGGCAGCTGAAGCAAAGGCGGCAAAGGCAGCGGAGGCAAAGGCAGCAGCGGCAGCAGTGGCAGCGGAGGCGGAGGCAGCGGCAGAGGCGGCGGCAGCAGCCGCAGCAAAGGCAACAAAACCAGCGAAGGCAAAGGCAGCAGGCCTCGCCAAGACGCCGCTGTCGCCGGACGTCCGGGACCCCGCGACGGGCTTGGTGTTGCCGAGAACAAAGCAGTTCGCGTCCTCGAAAACGGGACTCGTCTGCCTCGGGGTGGGCGTGAGGGTCAAATCGGTCGCCTTCGTTAATGTCAACGTCTACACGGTGGTGAGTATTGTACGGCTCCGTTCCTGATAGGTTAGTCGGGTGGTTGGTTGGTTGTCCTCTTCTATCTGTGTCGTGCCTTATTGCTCGACAGCTCGTTCACTTGTCGAAATTTTCTCAGGGGTGCAAGTCTTGCTGTACTCGTGTACCGCCTTGCCCACATTCCGCGCATATGGCAAGCACCGAGCGCCATCGGAACGGACGACGCCTCCTCGTTCGCATCGTCCTGAGTGTGTTAACCATTCCACGTCCGTTGCCGTACCTTCGTTGCTTTGCGCATCCCCTGCGTGCCGCGCGTGCAGGGGCTGTACGTCGAGCCGAAGGGTGCGCGAAAAGCGCTCAAGAGTTACGCCGGCAGGGACCCCGAAGAGCTGAGCAAGGACAAGTCGGTCTACCGCGTGCTGGGTGGGGCGGGCGATTTCTCCAAGTACCTGCACCTCGTGTTCGCGCGGAGCGTCGGAGCGCAGAAAGTTGTTGACGCGTTCACCGCCGTCAAGGGCGTGAACCAGGACGTTCTCGACAAGTGCGTTTCAGGGATCGGGGGGTAAACCTTATTATCATGGCACACCGTTTTCGTTAGGCCACGGACCTCGCATCCCCAGTACGGAGCACGCCCGGCAGGTTTCTTGTGCGAACCAACTCCTACGTGGGAGGGGAGCGGGGAGGCTGCGTTGTATTATAGCTTAATTTCCCTCTCTGAGCGCATTAAGCACGTATCTGTCTTGTCTGTCTCACAAGGGACGACGGGAGCAACCCTCGCATGTCATATCGCATCCATTATTGTTGTGGTCGTTACTTGCTGTGTTCGGGTTTGACACACCGCTCCGACCCGTGCCCGGTGCCTTCTGACAGCCGTACCGTCCCGAGTACCGAACCGCCTTCCTCGGTAAAGGCTAATTGTAGAGCTACAGAGCTATGTGGGTGGTAGGTCTTCCCCCCCCCCCCGATCGGTCGTGGTTGTTTGTGTCCTCTCTTGCTTCTACTTGCTTGTGTCGAATTGCGTTCCACCGTTTTTCGTCCACCACTCACTGACCCTCCCCCGCGACGGCGTCTCTCTTTCGTCTTGCCGTGGTACGCAGAACACTTGATCCAAAAAAGTGCAACGCAGCGTACACACTCATTCGCCGTTAGTGTCACGAAGTACGTACATGCTTCCGCACCAAAAGCAGCAACAACAACGCCTGTTTACAAAGACCGACCGGCATGACCCCAAGCTGAAAAGAAAAACGTTGCAGAATAGTTTTTACGTGTTCCCCCGTATGCTTCCACACCTACATACCCCGCGATGATGTCTACGTTCCCAAAACAGAGGGACACAGATTGTGGGCTGAAAACTGTGTGTAATGTTTTTGTTTTATCGCAAAAACGTCGCTTCGCCCAGGTTTTCAAGCCTGACCATGGAGGGGGTCGGGAAGTCTATCAACAGGGAGGAGTCGGTCACGCTGGGGTGGGAGGGCAAGGACAGGCTGGTGGTCTTGGTCCGCGACAAGGAGATCGGCAGCGTCATCGACGAGTCCCTCCCTGCGTCGGTGTTCAACCTTTTCTTGGGGTCCGACCCGGTCTCGCCGGTGGCGAAGACCGCATTCGCGGAAGGCGTGCCCGCGTTCCTGGCAAGCTAATTTTGTTTCGAGGGGGAAGGGGGGGGGGGGGTTGTCCCCGCCTGCGGGGACCCTGACTTTTGTCTCTGGAGGGCGTTAGTGTTAGTCCCAACAGGATAGATGCAACATCGAAAAGCAATCACGATGCGTGAAAAGCTTGAGATTGACGGCAGTGTTTGTTTTTGGTGCACTCTTGTTTTTGTTTTTGCTGCGAGTTCCACCAACCGGGGGAAGGCGCTGTTTGGGTTATCAAAATTTGCGCTCTAACAAGCGCGTGTCAGGCCGTTGACCTCCTGGTAAAAGGATCCCCTGGCGTGTTTTCGAGGAGCCTTGTCTCTCTCGACCACCTTGCGCCACCTGATGATTTCTTGATGGGAAGGTTTAGGTTCCGAGACTCTTGTTTCGATTGGGTTTGGGGGAGTGGAAGCGCATGCCGTATACCTTTCTGGGTCGTAACGTTAGCGCCGAACTCTATCCTCGCTTGCCATGCCACGTATGTGCGCGTGTGTTGTGTTCTGTTTGAATATCAGCGGCGGTTTCACTTCTGTGTGTTTGCCGAACCCGCGGCATGCCATCTCTCATGTTGTCTCTCAGTGAATCGTGCTGTGTTAGCTATTGCTGTGTTCCAGGGGGGTTTCTTATCCATGGCCTGTCGTTAGCGTCCGTCAAAGTCTGTCCTCTCTCTTATGTTTTCGTAGCAGAAGGCGGCAGGCTAGAACGAAGAGGATCTGTCCACAGCCACCTTCGCAACGTAGTGGTTTAGCCAGGCATGAAAAAGGAGGGCTCTTGCGCGTGTGTGTAGTCGTTGGGTACCTGCAGCGGAGCCGGTCCCTCCAAAGCGCTTAGCCGCGCGTGTACATAAGGGTTCTGGAAGCAACACCATCCAACCATGTACGTCTGCGCGGTGGGGGGGTTAGGGTAGTTCAGGAAGGAGTTGGGCGTACCAACCGACACGATTTCGTAACTGCAGGGCTTGTTAACAACCTCTCACCCTCGTTTGTGAGGCGTTTAAACGCCCCACCCCCTGCAAAACATTAGGCAACGTGTGGAGAGAAGTAGTGCAAGGTAGGTTCGGTCAACGTTGTGTAGTTTCGTTCCTGAGACGTTTTGTGGCTGGGTTGTGAAACGACATGCCCTCTACCGGGCATGCGCCGGACGTGTGCAAAGCCGTATGCATCTTCTGTGCCGTGTTATCGCTGTTGGAAGCAGTAGACCTAAACAATGAAAATCCTAGATATCCTCCATGTGCGTAGGTAGGCTACATAGTAGAGTCGAATCACTCTACACTTGTGCGACAGACTTGCACGAGACGCGCGGGGAGAGAGAGAGAGAGAGGGAGGGAGAGAGAGAGAGATATCCCAGCATGAGTTGGACTTGAACTTGTGGAGGTATGGACGTGTATATGTCCACAGGGCACGGCGGCACCCTCCCGGTAGTACCCTCACTTTCATGAGCCAAAGATTCGCGAGAACGCAAACCTGTGACGTCGTTATCCAACAACAGTATTATTTTCGTTTTCGGCTTCGCGACCCTAGAGGTTCTCTCCGACCCCTTGGCGCTAAAGATCGAAGTTGTTTTTGGTGTCCGCGCGCGTACAGCACTTCGCTATCACGCTCGCGAGATCTTGTCGAGAGCGTTTCCGCACAACGTTTCTGCACAAAAGAGAGGTGACTTCAGTTCCTTCCTTAACCCAGCGTTTACGCGAGTGAGACAGGGACGAGGCCAAGCGGAAACTCGCGCGTTGAGTCCATCTAGACCCCCAACCAACTCCATCGGTGTAACCTTCGCCCAAGGAATATCCACCCACACCACGGTGTTTGGCTCCAAGCTAAACCTAAACTGCACAAGCCAGCCAGAATGTTGTTCGGACGCTCTACAAGCCAGTATACCTGCACTGGATGGCAAACGAAAACAGGTGCAGGTCTAAAATTAAGAGATGTTGAGACCGACGACGCCAGGCAGGGAGCCCGCTTGACCGACCGATCATCTCGCGCCCACACACGAAGGCAGTCCAGCACTAGTTGATGGAGCTACTCGCGGTCTCGATCATTCGCGCCTTGTAGGTGCGAACCAAGAGCGAGAGTTTCCGGCGGTGCAACATGGGTTGAGGAATGCCATCTGTACGAGTGTAGAGGTGTAGAGGCAGCTCGTATTCGTTCGTTCACATCACAACGGCGACACGACACACATGCTCCCCGCAAGACTTAGCAGTCGAACTACTCAGTCAACACGGGATTTCTGCGCGAGCCTGGCGCCCGTTTTTGAGCCCTCACCTTGACCTGTTCCTTGGCGAACCTGTCTCTGAGGGCGATCGCGGCAGCCCGATCTCCGATCATCATGCACATCGCCTGCGTCGGAGTTGCCGGGATGTGCGGCGCCACCGAGGCGTCGGCTACCCTCAAACCAGAAATCCCATGGACTCTTATCATGAATACACAACAGACAGACGAAGGTTTTGCGCGAAAATCGGCAGGTAGGAACGATCACGTCGAAAGATAAGCGATGTTGAAAGGGAAGTACAAACTAATGTACCATCCCGAACTACCTTGCAGCACGAGCAAATCCCACCGCTACAGAGAGTAAACGACAGCAGACGCGCGAGGGACTCCTTCAAGCTTGCGCACGGGTCGACACCAAGTGGGTGGGTGGGCGCAACAAGCAACCTGCGTGACGCTCTTCCACCCCGGAACAAGCTACCTCTGGCTGTTGGCTTGGGTGTGTCCGTCGTTGTGCGCTGTTGCAAATCTCCGAACCCACGAGACCACAAGTCGGTGGCGCAGTTTCTTGAAAAAGGACAGAGACCAAAGCCGCAGCAACTCACGGAAAAACGCCAAAGTACACCCTAGTGGGACAAGAACGCAATACAGCTAGACACCGACCTCAGGTCGTCGGCGGAGACCACCGAGTCTTGCACCTCTCGTCCCATCCGGCAGGTGCCCACCGGGTGGAAGTAGGGCAGGCAGAACTCTCTGGCGAACTTCAAGAAGCTCTCGTCGTCGTCGCAGTCGTTGAACCTGATTGGCACACAAACGACCACCCGCCGGCCGCCGAAAAACAACGTCCCGAAGCAACGCGAAAACACACACACACACACACACGGTGCTTGAGTTAGAAGCGTTGCATCATCACGGGGTGCTTGCTTGCATGTGGATAGTTGCGGTTGAGGGAGGGCTTCAGAAGAAGGATGCGGGGCTCTTGGGTCGCACCGCGTGTCGGTGCAACAAGTTGCCTCCTTGCCAGCACTAGAAAATGAACGACGAACGTCCAGCCCTTCCCCCCGGGCAAAGCAGGTGTCGCGCAAAGTTATCAACTCATAAACAAAGAAGGGCGCTGCTTCATATAACCCAGGAGATGCATATGGGCTTTTTACGCAAACCATAGAGAAATACGCCACCCCACACACTCGCAGCTGCAGGCGCACGAACGCAACAACCACATCCCCCAACCTCCAACCCACTTTTTCCCGGGCAGGAGCTCGAAGCCAAAAACAGCCCTGCCGGTGGTCGTCTCCCTCTTGGCCCGGCGGATCGTGCGCCAGCACTCTAACATGGCCCGTCGGTCCTGCGGGTGCGAGAAGTACCCCGGGTCGATCACAGGCGGCGCCGCGGCGTCCGTCCCGGACGCCAGGCGCACCGTTCCCTTGCTCTTGACGGAGGTGACGAGCATCACGTTGCAGCGAGTGCCTCGGAGGATTCGCGTCAGCGGGGTGAGCCAGGTCGCCACCCAGATCACCGCCAGCACCACGCCGCGCCCCACGGCGCCGAACAGCCCCGGCCGCACGAAGAGCATGGTGATCAGGCCGCTGAGGTTTCGCACGAGGAAGGACCCGTCCCCGTGGAGCACGCCTACAACGGCAGCGCCCGGGGAGGGGGCCTCCGTCCGTGAGGAGGAAGAACCAGCGGCGGTGGTGGCGGCGGCGGTGGCGGCAGAAGGTGGTCCGGCGGGTGCTGCTGCCTCCTGGGGCAGCGCACAGGAGAAGTAGGTCGCGCTGTGGAAGGAGTCTTCCGTGTAGTCGGCCTCTGTCATTCGCGTCTTGCTGATGTTCGAAGTGGCGAGAATCAGGTGGTCCTGGAGGTTTTCGCCAACCTGTTTCGGTTTAGGGGCAGGTCAAGCGCATGGGACGGGATGGGCGAGGGAAAGAAACCAACTATGCTCCTGGGGAGCGGTAGTGGTGTCGTTGACCGGGGTTGATCGTTAACTTTGCGGGTGACGTCGACTCTCGCGAATTAATTCGACCATTGGGTCAGCATTCGAAGGGTCGCCTTGTTTGGACAAAGATGGAAATAAGAACAATCTGAAAAAAGGGTGCATGGGCATTACCCCCGCCAGGGCAAGCGTGGTGCTACACAGTCCCCACGTCGGGCGACACACAAAGAATCGACCCAAAGTCACTCCAAAGTCCGTCTCTAGCACGAAAGTATAAGGAGCACATCTCGCGGGCGGGACGGGAGAGAAAGGGAATGCATGAAGGGAGAGGGAGAAAAAACGAGATAAGCAGGGAGAAAGAGAGAAGGTGCCCCCAACATGGCCACACGGAACGCTTCCAACTCGGTTGCACGAGAAAAACGCCCCCCCCTTCGCTCACATGGGGCATATCGACCACGACCGGCACCCCCTTCTCCTCCAGGTGCCTCCTAGGCCCCACGCCGGAGAGCATGAGGAGCTTCGGAGACCTGAACGCCCCACAGCAAACGACGATCTCCGCGCGGTCCTTCGCCAGCCGCAGCTGCCGCACCCGCGTCCGCCGCCGCCGCCCCCCCAACCACCACCACCCCGGCGCGGACTCCACAACCTCTACTCCTACCGCGCGGCCGCCCTCGATGATGACGCGGGACACCGCGGCGTCGTCCTTGATCTTGAGGTTGGGCATCGTCGTCACGGGGCGGACGAAGGCCGACCAGGCCGTCTGCCTCTCCCCGCCCCTGGTCGTGGTGCGCTTCATCGGGCAACCGCCGAGGCCTAGCCTGGTCCAGGTCGGCTCGGTGTAGCCGTCCTCGCTGCGTGAGGACGACGGCCGGGGGGGGCTTTTGAACCCTACCTCTTCGAGCATGCGGGCGCACGACGGGGCGACCGTGCCGGTCGTCGGAAGCTCCTCCAGGGTGAGCTCGGCCTCGATGGACTTGAAGCTCGCCTGCTTGGGCCATGATTGAGAGAGGGGTTTCGTGCTGTTGGCGGCGGTAAGTGTGTACCCCATGCCGACAGCATCTACGGCAGTAGGCGGCCAAAGGGGGGTGTTCAAAAAGGACTCGAGAGGGGTGAGGATCGAAGACGTGTGCAACACCATTGGGTTCTAGTGGCGGTTTGACGGCCAGCAAGGCTAACTGTATTGGGGCGTTGTGGTGGATGTAGCCGTCTTCTCCGGAGCTCTCACAGGAGCTCCAGCTTCACTTAGATCTCCCTTGGTGCCTCTCTGTTTGTTCTTCATTCACCAAGAGGTGATGCACCGACGTGTTCCACGTAAAAAAACATCAAGCAACACAGACCAGGCAAAAAAAAACAGTGTAGCGATCTCTTGAAATTAACGGGCGTACAAAAAACCTCGATATGACATTCTAACGAAAAGGTCTACTCTTACCCTCCAGGAACGTTTCAACACTCTGTATGGTGTACACGGTGTGACGTTCAGCGAACACTTGGGTCGTCAACTGCCGAGTCTTAGTTCACTGTCGCACGTTCGGAACTCGAGTGCAAGCATATCGACCGCAGTTCAGCTGAGACATCCACAGATTTGGGCGGGAGACGTAACCCCTTGAGAAACAACTTTCACACAACGGGATGATTTGAACTTGGCTCCCTCTTGCCGTGCTAATCTACCAACGAGCAAGGAAGTAGATGGTTGCACTAGTTGTTAGCACCTTGGACAGGTTTGAATCACCGTCGATTGCGTTCGAAGGGGGCGGAGGTTTTCCAATTTTTAGGACCTCGGACTTGGTGAACGAGTATTATTCTAGAGGCGGGCGGAGGGTAGAGGGCTCTGGACAGAAACGTGTCTACATCAGTCCCACGGGGAAAACCCAGTTGAGACGCAACCCTGATGTCGGCCGTATCTTTCGAAATAGGTACAGAACATTTCTTCAGGGGGGGGGGGGGAGGGGGGCTTGGATGCCTGGGGTGCTGGGGTGAAAGCGTAGCCCTGTGATGCTCAAGTCGCGTGGAGAATGGCCCACACGTGCCCACCTCGATGTCCTTGAGCTCCCAGGGCCAGTGCTTTTCGTAGTCCTCCTCCCTGTGCGTGTGCCAGACGACAAGGTTAGAAACAGCGGTCCGGTGTAGCCGTCTGCACGCGTTGCATGTAATGATTTACGGGTTTACCGTACCTGTGCGTGTTGTGGCACCCGTCGGGTACCTCGTGCCCACCGGGGCCATGGCACCGGGGTGCGCAAAAACAGACAAGAGCGGCATGATTGAAATGCGTTCCCGCACCGATATCGGTGTTATCGCAACCGGTACGATATCAACGATATTGAACTTGCTAATACGTAAATTTTCAGTTTTGCGTACCTTGCCCTCCAGGCCAAGTTTTGAGCTATGTGTAACGAATGGCTACGGGGTGCCAGTAGGTATCAATTGTGCGCTAATCCTTTCATGTACATGGCACCGTCAATGTGTACGAGTAGAAGGAGTTGTGTTTTTGTTACAGAAGCGGTGTATCGAATGCACTCAACCAAGAAAGGGGACAGCATACATCCGGCACCTCCTACCGACCAAACAAAGAAAGGGACTCATAAACGGTACTGCCGGTACTGGTGTGCCCCTTGAGGAAGACAAAAAACAAAGGGAGCACCAGCCAACAAACTAGGTTTGTGACCAATAAATAGCCTGGAAGACAAACAGATACCGTATTTCACCGCCTCGCTTGGTAGGAAATATATTGCTGTACCTGGTGCATGTAGTTCGCCTTGTATTATTTCCTCGACATAGGTGAAGTGTTTGTGATACCGAAGTTGTGTGTGTGTGCTTGGGTACGCGCCCTGTACCGCAAAGCTGCCTTACTTGTAGCACGAAGCGCTTGTGTTCAATTCTTCAGTATCATCGCACCCACCGCCTGCACTCAGCACCGAGCAAGTACCAGCACCGCAAATAATCACACTTTTGCGCACACGGAGCATGCTTTTACAGCAAGTATTTGTTGCGCATGTTCTCAAGGAAAGAAACACGGTCAAAACTTTACGCCAGGCTGTCCGGTGGGTTTGTTCGGTTGCCTTCGTTCTATCTATATATCGGCAGACTAACGCACCTTCCTCGTTGGTACAAACCAGCGTTGACGTTGCTAGAGCCTCCGCCCCCGACGCCGTTGTACGCGGGAAGTTCGCGGTAGCCGAGGCCGGCCTGGGGCACGGTATTAAAGGCCTCCGAGAGACCCTCCCCGCTCGAGGCCTGGTGCACCCAGCCCGAGGGCCGGCCGACCACCTTGGCGAGGGTCGAGGCGTCAGCCGGGCCCTTCTCGACGAGCAGGACCTTGAGGCCTGCCCGCACGAGCCTGGAAGCAAGCACGCATCCGCTCGAGCCTGCGCCGACGATAAGAAAGTCGCAGTCGACCGTGTCGTCGGCTGTAGGGCTTGCAACGGCCATGCTCGCTTTGATATTGCAACCCTTGTGCCGCCGCAGTGAGGTTCCGCCTTCAATACACACGGAGAAAGAGGCGGGGTTGTAGAGAGAGAGAGAGAGAGGCAAAGACCGAGAGAGAGAGAGATCAGACAGAGGCAGAGACAGACAAGGGGCTTATTGGTGCGGCACTGATTGTTGATGCACCGTCAGGCGCTGCCAATCAAAATCAACTCATGCGCCGCCTCCTTTCATTTTTTTCTTTTTCGCCAGAACCACCCCTGTCGTAGGCCAGCGCACAGCAGTGCACTTTGGGTACTTGGGGCGCTAAACGCGTGCATGCACCTCGGCCCCCTCGACAATCTTACCGATTGCCATGGATCGCTTTCGGAGAGTGCACGGTGAACAGCTGGCATCAGCCGGTATACCGGAGCGGTTCCATGAGAAGCTCCATCAAAAGCTAGAGAACGAGGTACCCTGTAGGGTTGTAATGGTGCGGAGAGGAACGGCCATGATTCACTCCGCACACAACCACCGCAGGGGCGCGGGGAGAGAGAGAGAGAGAAAGAGAAAGAGAGAGCGGAGACCTCTCTGTGGTTCAGGCCCGTGAGCCAAGAATCACGAAATCATGAGTAAGACACACGTGTGGGGAGTGGAATGTGGCATATGATGTTTGACATGTTTTTTGACGATCGACATGCATGTTTCGGATTCACTCCCGTACCCCACCCCGCAGCATTTACATGAGATGTTGTAGACTGCTGTTGTGCTTCAGACTTCAACACTTGTAGTCCACACGAACGTAACTGATCGATGAGCTGGTGACAGGATGCTGACATGAGTCAATAATCGCATGTAGAGAGTATCGCGGATGAACTACATGTACACGAAGTTGTACTGCTGCAAGGTCGTTCCTTCCCTGCGCTCTCTCACACCTCCGCTGTGCAATCTTGTCGACAAACGTACACAACAAGGTGTTCGACGCCGGGGACAAGCTCTTCATCGCCCTCGTCGAGGAGGGCGGCAGTGCAGCGCAAGATGGTAGCATCGGTGACTCGTCAGAGACGCAAGCGAAAGAGGGCGAGGGGGAGGAGGAAGGGGGGAAGCAGGCTTTTCGTGAGAAGAGAAAGGTGGTCGTGAGAGACGAGTACGTCCACAGCGGCGAAGACGACGACATATTCCTGGTGGATCGTGAGTCACGGCAGCAGTATCGGGCACCACTTGAAGAACCTGTTATGTCGCGCAACCCTGACGACTTATTTCCTCTGTGGACTATCAGCATCTACTATAAGTACTCGTTGTTGAAGTGGGTGACTAGTACTTTGTCATAACGTCAATGGTCCAAACGACAGCGCGCCAAACGGCGCAAAGCTCACGTTCGTGGTTTGTGGCGAAAACCTCCCCCCTCCCCACGCGCACGCTCCCCTGACAGATGCATGGACTTTCCAGGCAGGCAGCGCCCGTGAGCAGCTCCGGGCTTGCGAGCCCCTACTCGAACGAATGGCGGCACTGATGCAAGTCCAGCCTTCCCTCGCCGCCAGGAGAAACAACAACAAGGAGCTAGCGGAGGCCAAGAAGAGCGTCGCCGGCGAAGGCGAAACGGATGGCGAGGGGGACAGGGGGCAACAAGAAAGCGGCAGGGATGAAGGTTGCTGCGAGGGGAAGGGGGAGAAGGCGCGAGTCCTTGAGGGAGTCTTGGCCGCGCTGCCAACCTTTTCGAAGAGGTACGGGCTGGGCCGAGCGGGGATGTACGCCTCTTACGTGAACGACGAGCTGGGCAGCGCGTTCCGTCACAGCGAGAGGCCCAACTGCCAGGTGCGTCTCTCGTGTTGGTGTTTTGATACTTGTTTGGTGAGACTTGCTTTGTTCGACGTAGGAGGCTGCGTTGGTCCTCCTGTGAAAATCGAAAATCGACTGGAAACAAGAACGGCGTGAGTTGCTGTCAACAAGGCGGGCCTTGCGGCGCAGAAAACTCACAATTGAACGTTGGGGTACGTGAATTCAACGCAACGGCAAGTCGTGACACGATATTTAAGATGAACCGCAGGGACTACCACAGCAACCCAACGTTTCGGACGGGACGTGATACTAGGCGAAGAAACTTGGTTTATCACAAGACTGCGCACGTGCACTGCCTTAGAGAGCTAGAGCGACAGCAAGGCAGCATCCCGGACTACCGACAGGCAGTTTGGGATGTTTGATTCGCTGGTCCTATGCATAACTACCGGTCGGAATCTCAGAATTCCGTTTAGCAACCCCGAGTTTACTATTTAGTAGGAGGTCCCTCCCACCGCTGCCCTCTTAAGAGTACACCGCCCGTCACAACTGTCCCCCCAACAGCATCCAAGCTAGCCTATTTAGTCTCCGTGTGTCTGTTCCCCTCCCGATTGATCGCTCTTGTGCTCGCGATTGGTTGCCTTCCTTGTCTTTGCAGATGTCTCTCTTCATGTTCAGCAGCCAGAGCGCCTCCGGCGGCGGCGGCGGGGGCGGCGGTGGTGTCGTCGCGTACTCCGTCCTGTGGCCGCTGCGGCGCCTGCGAGCGTCTGAGGAGGCCACCCTGGACCTATTGCGGTCGACGGCCTGGGCGGGGGCAACGAGCGTCGCGGCTCGCGGGGCCTTCGTCCGCGGGCTTCGTCTTCCGTGCTCCCTGGTGGGTGAAGAGGGTGGGTTGTCAGCCGTGAGTCGTGAGACGGCGGTGGTGGTTATTGTTTTTAAGTCGGCTCGAAGAAGGTCACAAGTGTACATTCAGCACTGCTGTCATCATCGTGATCATACATGAGCGCGAGAGAGGCGTTTTATCATCGAAAGGAGCTGTCTCTGGCTGGCTGTGTTCCTGCTTTTGTGCCGATCCTTAACACTCGGGAGACCTCCGTGCAACGTTGCCAGCAGGACCGACACGAGTTTCCGGCAGGGACCAACACCCACCACCACATCGACCACGAGTCCCTGAGCCTGCCCCAAGACCGCCTCGCCAAGCGGCAGCGCCGCATGGACTCCTCGGCGAACGAGTACCGTGCCCGGCTTGCCGCCACTGCTACCGCCGCCACCACCGCCACCGGCACAGTAACGCCGGCGGCGCCCGTCGCCGTACAAACTCCCGTCCCCCCACCTCCCCCATCGTCAGGCGTGGGCGCTGCTGCACTTTCTCCGGCTGCCGGTAGCAGAGGGGACGGGCGGGGCGGGGTTAAGCCGTTGTCGGTGTGGACGGATTTGCCATACCTTTCGGACGGGGAAACGGGGTTGACACGGCCGGAGTTCCGCGTGTTGGAATCCGGATTGGCGGCGGTGGCGGCAGCGTCACCCAGAGATGCCGACATCGTGTGGGCCTCGAGCTCGATCGACCCGAAGTTCCAGGCTGCTATGGGGTAAGCAGACTGTTTTGCCTGTTGGTGTTTGGTTTTTTTTTTTTGTCGAAGATCCGGTTCAGGCGAAACTGTCGACTAGAGACTTGTCCTCTTCCTTCCTTGTCTCAATACTTTGTTTCCCTTTGGTGTTTGATTTGGTTTTGTCGAAGAATCTGAGGCGAAACTGTGAACTCCTCCTTCCTTGCCTCAAAATTTTCTTTCCCGTAAACGACACCCGTTTCTCCTTGTTCATCGCGCCCGCCAGCGGGTACAACGTCGCGACACGAACACGTCGGCCTGTATTGTTCTTCAATCACGTTACTGTCGTTTTCTTTCACTTCCTCGTTGGCCGTTGGCGCTGCTCCCGAATCACGATGCCGTGTGCGGGTGTCGCGACGACGACCCCCAGCGGTCTGCGGCCGGGTCAGCTGGTGAACCAGTTCCCTTACGAGGCGGCCCTGGTCGTCAAGAGCCACCTCGCGCGCACCATCCAGCGGGAGTTCGGCAGCACGAGTCCCGAAGGGGACGTGATGCAGACGACCTTTGACATGCAGGTGAAGCTGGCTGGCTGGCTGACTCGCCGAGGCGCTAGTGCTGCCGTGCTGGTCTTGTTCGCTTGCTACACGCCAATGCATGTGTAGGAACTAGTTTGTGCGCGGCTCGGGTAATCTACCACTTAGAACCAAGTGAGGTGTCCTGACATACCTGTTACCTCTTGGCTGCGATAGACTCCAGCACTCTTGGACAGGCCAACAAGTGCAGCCTTGGCGCACGGGCAGGCTGCGATCTGATTGCAAAATGTATATACGCGTCCAGGGCAAAAAAACAGTTCTGGACCCGTTGGTTTCGTAAGTCCTGAACGGGAAACCTTCGACGGGCAAGCACACGCCGCGGTCGGCGTTTCGAACAAGGTAATCACCGGCTTGTTTCAACAGGATGACCGACTTGATTATTGTCACGTTTGCAGCAGTCTTCCCCGCTGATATCTACTGTAACTCGTGCCCTTTCACTCCCGTGCTCTAGCTCCACCCTACAACTGCAACTCATTTCCCGGTCGAATCGGATCCAACGGCCCGACTGGCTACCTGTCTCTCAGAGCGAGGACGACGCGCTTGCATTCATGGCCGACTTCCGCCGCCGCCGCGATGCCGGTGCGGACAACATCTGGATCGTCAAACCTATCGGTGGGTGTTTTTTCGCAGCCGGTTTTATTTAGCGCGGTTCGGCGGCGTGGACCGTGGGGGTACGTACGTCCCAGTCCCCGTTGCAATGGGCCGAATGGTTGTGTTTTGAGTGGGCCGCCCAAGTCAATGAGTGATGACGCACTAGCAATCGGTTTCGATTACCCGGTTGTCGCTCCGTGGTGACCCTCAAAGACATGTTATAGTCGTCCATGTACGATGCATGAGTTGCAACAAGCCAGGACGAAAATGTGTGTATCGACGCGCTTCCGTTGGTCAAGCCGAGGGTTGACCCCGCTCGTGGGATGAATCCATCGCTCTCGCCCTCCCCTCCCCCCCCCCGACCAACCGCGTGCCCCCCGATTCGTACGGCGATGTGGCGGCTCGACAGGGTTGGCGAGGAGCATGGACACTACCGTTACCGGGAGCCTGGCCGATGTTCTTCGAGCGTCGGATACTGGCCCTAAGGTGAGGCCCATGTCTACGGAATCAACCAACCGGCACCGAGCTTAGGACTTAGGCGAAGCCCCGGGAAGGGCCGAAGGGGACTGGGGGAGAGCGCGAGCGGCGGTAGTGAGCGTGTTGGCTGAAATCGATGTGCAGACAAACAGAGAAGGCGACTCACGCACTACACGAGAAACTGTGGTCACCCATCGGGACACTTTGCCACACACACGATTGGTTGCTTTGTCTCCGCAAAGTCTTTTTCATCCTTGAGCCGATTTTTCGCGCGGTCGACGCCGCTTGTTGTTCAGCTCAATAGGAAACGCTCGCGCCCGCTCGCGAAACAGGTGGCCCAGCTGTACCTGTCTCGCCCGCTGCTCTGGAAGCGCCGCAAGTTCGACCTCAGGATAGTCGCCCTGCTGGTAAGCACCCACCCCCTCGAGCTGTACGTGCACGACTGCTACTGGCCGAGAGTCGCCGAACGGCCCCACGAAACGGAACCAGCCAAGAGGAACGACCTGCGACAAGGAGAGGACGTGCTGCTGTCGCAGCTGGAGGACCCCCGGGTTTCGCTCACGGCGATGCACCTTCTCCGAGGGCGGGAGGGGGGGCAAGGAGGCACCGCGTGCCACCCTGACCACGAGGTGTGTGTGTGTGTGTGTGTTTGTGTGTGTGTAGGTGTCACTGCCGCTGTTGGCACCCGCCAGAAAGCACCAGCAACACTACTGCTGCACCTGGCCCGAGCTTTCTCTTTTTTACGAAAATGTATGCTTGCAAACAATCACAGGAAGACCACACCCGTTCGAGATAATTCGAGATAACACCACAGTTAGATGACACCACAACAGTTTATCGTGACACTCCTCTTCAATTCGAGATAACACCACAGTTAGATGACACCACAACAGTTTATCGTGACACTCCTCTTCTGAAGAATGAACACACTGCTGGCGGCTCACAAGGACGAGTGCCCCTCCGCCTCCTTACCCTCGCCTCTTTCTTTTTTGTTTTCTTTCGTCCCTCGGCCCTCAGGATTTTGCCCGAGAAATGCACGACGTGGTCTCCCAGCGACACGTGGGGGCCACCTGGGACGACGTGATGGCCAAGACAAGGTGGGGTGTTTATTTCGGACGGTCAAGGGTCATCATCGTGCCATGCCAGCCTTTTCCTCTAAGACCCTGTCGCAGGCATCGAACGCACCCGTCAAAGTGCGCCTCCTCGAGATACTTCTTTCCCGCCGTACTAGGGGGCGGGAAAGCGGAAGAAGAAGGCGAATACCACAACAAGAGCTCCGGATCATGTTCCAACCACTACCACCGTCTTCATTCGCTACGGTCGGACCACCCACTCCCCGGAGACCTTAAGCGGGAGGGGGGCAGTAGGAATGTCGAGTCTGTGCCCCCCTCCACCCCTCCATATTTCTATGAACCGACGTCCTCCGCCTCGAATGAAAACCTTGTGCGAACGCACGCAGGGCCATGATCCTCTCCGTCTTCCGGGCGGCGGCTCGCCAGCAGCCCGGCATGAGGAACGGTTCCGCCCGAGCGATGTACGGCTGCGACGTGATGGTCACGGCCGCCCTGGAGCCCCGGCTGCTGGAGGTGACTTTCTCCCCAGGGAATCTGGCCGCTTCTCCCGCCTGGACAGTGAGTGGCGGTGGAAGGGGGAGGTTGGGTTGTACATTGCCGTGGGCCACCGCTGCTTATCCCAATTGAATTTTTTATGTTTCTCGAAGGCAGGTGAGCCGTAAGACTTGTTCGTGCCCCTGCGTGCGGGATGGTCACGCGTGGTCGCCAAGAGCCAAGGTGAAGGCCAACCAAGACGCTTGATATTGTTGTTGCTGCTGCTGCTGCTGCTGCTGCTGCTGTTCAAATTGATTGCAACTGCCGTTCAAGCGTTGCTCTGGCTAGAATCTGGTCGTGAGGTGTCGACTGCTCCTGGCCTTACCGGTACAAGAGGGAGGGTTGCACATACTTGTCGCTGATCGTGTTCTTGTATCCCACCTGTTCATACGTCTCGGCACCTCCGCCGCAGACACACTCTTGGTACCACACTACCACACCACAGCCCCGCTCCCCCTACCCCACGGGCGCGTTACCGCGGTGAAGAAGCTTGGTTTATGCGTTCCGTGAGCGAAACAGGCTCGGAGATAAGCAAGGGACGGAAACGACAATCTCAAAAGTATGACGGAGGAATCCCTACCGCATAGTACATGAAACAGAAACTCCCTTCCTCGGCGCCGTTCGGTTTTTTGTTGCGGACTCGTGCGCTCGACGAGCAGGTTCAACGGCCGGACTTCTTGAACGAGGCGTTCGGTTGCCTCTTTCTGGGGGAGCAGAAAAACGTGACCCGCTTGGCATGACGACGAGAGGACACACACAGGGGGGCCCAGCCCTACCCGCACAACACCGACGCCACTCCCTAGTTGGTGTGCGCCCGGGATGGCAACCTCACACGCTCGGCGTCGGCAGCGAAAATATCCTCGGCGGCCTTTTATACCTTGCTGGAGGCGTTGCATCACGAGTTAGATGTTGTACCGCTGCTGGGTAAGTATCGTCGCGAGGGAGGAATACAATAGGTGCTCTGGGCATCGGTTGTGGTGGGATAGCGCATCGGGCGGAACGAACGAGGAAGACGACAAGCAGAACGCTCGCTGCGGGATGGAACACCTCGCCACCACAAAGTGTACCTTCACCATTACCATGGTCATGACCTTTGGTAGTTGGTGGTGGTTGGTCCCCTCGCTCGAAAGGCTGCGGGTGTCTAGGGATCCCAATCCCTGCCGGGGTATAGAGTTCTACCGACAAAATCATGAGGGAGAACGTAAACTCGAAGTTCGCCCCTTTTATAGAGTAGTTTAAGTTTGCATCGGGGAGATTGTCTGCCATCGGCTGTCAAGACTGACGAGCATGGGCTCCGCCAGTTCGGTAACTTTAGGACAACAGACGGGTTCCCCCATGCCCGCTCTTGTGAGGGTCTGTCACCAAGGCGCTTTTTTCGCACGCAAGAAATGAACGCAGAGCACCACGCATTTCTCGCGGCCAGTCCAATGGAATCTTAAGCAGCACTTACGTACTTGCTGCTGCAAGAGTCTTACCAGGCATCTCCTCTGAACGATGGCGATAAAACCGAGAGAGTGACAGAAGCGGCTTTCACGATGTTTGGGGTGCCAAAAGATCACGCCGAGACTACTGGAGTGAAAGCTTGACTAAACTGGCATGCAGCAGCAGCAATTTTGCACGCATGACCGTATCCTGCTTCAACTCAGAGACAAAACCTGGGAGTTCCTCTCCACTGCACTTGACGATTTTAGTCGTAAATTCTACTGTTACCGCTGCTGTTCTGGGGGTCTATATAGGCTTCCCATGAAACTATTTCCGCATACTCGTCACGCGTACGCGTTCGTCTGCTAGCGTTGCTATTGTTGTCGTCTTCACAAACAAACGTCCATGGTGCATCTTAAGCTACTACCCCCCCCCGCGTGCACCGTCTGAACCAAGGGGACTCTCGGGGCCCTCCAAAGGCCTAAGGCGCCAACCACATCAAGCACATCCACACCTAACGTTACAGCTACACGGGTCTGCAAAACATAAAACACCACAGAAAGAACGAGACACTACATGACACTCGCGAAAATGACCACCCTCCCGCCCCTCGCCCGGCCTCGACCACTCTACGACGCCCCCCACCTTGTTCTTGGC